GATCTATCTCATGTGATTTCCTTCTTCACATGTGATACCCTTTATTTCATTCCTTTGTTGAGTTCTTTCCTTAATAACTTATTAACTCAACAAAATCCATCACCGTTGGTTCCACAATTTTTGTGTCCAAGTTCAATTCTTGGAGGTGATTTTCTTATTAATTAGATTATCTTCTTTTTTCTTCTTTTATGGGAAGTTCCAGACAAAATAGATTTAGACCAAAAAAAATAAAATAAAATATAATGCCATAATTACTGATTCTGCGTCTCAAAATCAAGATGTAAGGTAAGTTAATGAGTTTAAATTTGTAAATTATTAATTATTATATCTTTTATTTTGTGGAAAAAATTTGGTATCAGAGCAGTGGGATGTTTTTTGCCCCCGCTTTGCTCATCAAACAAATTTAATTATCAGGGAAATTTTTAAAGTCTCCTAATTTGGTTATTGCATCTGAAAAGGCTATTTGTATTATTGCATATCTTAACAAATCTATGGCTAGATTACATGATGAACAAAAAATAAATATTTTAAATATTTTGCATTACTTCTTCCATTGGAATTCTCATTATTATTGGATTTTAGTTTATTATGAACAAAATCAGATTTAAAGGTATTTACAATTATAATTTACAAATACTTTTAGTTAAACATATTTAACTTTATTTCTATATTTTTTAAGTGCTTATTTCTAATTATGCTCCTGAAGAATTTGATTAAGAAGGTCAAGACAAAGAAATTTACTATTCTGATAAAGAATATGAAGCATGAAATAATAAGGTTTTGTCACTTGACATTTGTAAAATTATTGATAACGAAGTTTAGTGGAAGGAAATTGGACAATTAAAAAAGCTTTTACTTCCTTTTTGTAGAACATTAAACAAATTACAAGCAGATAATGTCCGTTTTCATGATGTGCTGGTTATTTTTACAAAATATGGCAAGAATATTCTGATCAAGATTTAGGGAAAAAAATGATTTCACGTTTGGAAAAACAGTGCATATCTGGAGACAACCTTTATTTTTAATTTCTTTTTTCTTACACCTTGAATATCAAGATAATTTTTTCATTAAAAGTAATCAATCATTTTCTTTTGCTCAACTGAGTGAATGGATGATTTACTATTTTTGTGCTTGGTTTAAACAGATGTCTACCACATTATTAGGAGAATTCAATGGCAAAAACGATTAGAAAATATTTTACATGTAAATAAAAAGCTCAAAACCATGAACGTTGTAATTCCAGTAATTCAAGAGCAGCAGGAAGATGGAGTATCTGATGATAATGATGATTTTTTGATCAAGATCCTGAGTGTGATATTGAATCATCTCGTGAGTGGAGAAATTTAATAAAAGAATGGATTGAAATGGTGGATGAAGATGAAAAAATAAATCAGACGGATGAAGAAAATAGTGAAAATTTAGAACCACTCATTAATCGTGTTATGAATTTAGACCAGATTTTGTGTAAAAAACACACAAAAATGCTAAATGGAAGTTAGGTGATATATTGATTTTGAAAAACTTCAGCTTCCCGCATATTTGACATTAATATATTTTGTTAATTTGCAGATGAGATGGAATCTATTATATATTTGTGTTGGCTTAAAGAAAATGTCTAATAATGTTCAATGAAAATTATTTACATTTAGAGTTCGAATTGTTTATTTTTTGGATAATCTTCATGCCGATCACCAAAACCCTTTGCACCAGACACATCAAACTCGAATGTCAATAGTCCACTCCAGTAACAGTGACGATACGCATCTCCAGAACCGTTATGCAAAGTGGATTCAGGAAAATTATTTTGCGCGTTTGCTAATGCTTCTTCTGCAAGATCTCTTGCTTTATTGCAATTAAACGCATGAAATATACTTATACACTAATTTTTTGCTGCTTTATTCCCTCCGTCAAAGTAAATATCTTGTTTCAAGACGATGAATGGATGTTTTTGGTTTCACTGGAATTGAAAGAATATTGGTAATCACATTTTGAAGTATTACAATTATAAGTATTGTTGATAAATCCAGTTCATCATGGAAACGTTGTTTGATTTTTCTTTTTTGATATAATTTAGCTTTTTTTTGTGGTAAGTCTAGGCTTTTATTTATTTATTTACGTAAAGCAGAATTAGGGAAGCCTAGGCTTAAATGTGGGCTTAAATTCATATTTTAATTTCATATATCACATGATCCTTGCAAATAATGATGTCACAGTATCCCACGCATTAAATGCTTTTTTTTGGTTAGATTCAATTTATTTTATAAACTAATGCCTCCCTGTATCCCTGTAAATTCCATTTTTTTTCCGTAAAAGGCTCATATTTCCGGAATTAATAACCTTATATCACAGAATTTATCGATTTATTTACATTTTCCATGAATGGATCTGTGAAAGGCTCATTTTTACGGAGTTTTTACAGAAATAATAAATCTAAATTTTTTCTCACAATGTTTGTTCACTATTATATATATTTGAATATGACTTTTTATTTTTTTAAGAAAATTTTACATTATAATGAACAAGATAGAGATAAAAAAAATCAATTTTTATAAATTTACAATGGAAACGTAGAATGAAATTTTTATTAAAGCTCTATATAAAAACAAAACCCTACTTCTAAACATTAAAAATCATAATAATAAAAATTGTATCTCATGACAAATTCTACATATTTTATTAAGCTTTTATATAGCTATAACTGATTATCAGTGAAATCGTCAAAGTTAAAGTACAAATTTTGTGGTTATTCTAAAAATATCAATGGATGAATTTATGATTTAAGCTATTATGGAAAAAAATTTTTATTAAATGTACTTAATTTTTCATAAAATTAGATGAGAGTTGAATCTTCAGTAAAATTGCGGGCACAATTGCTTACCGTTTAAGGGATAAAAAAATTTAATAGTAATAAAATTACCTATTTATAATTAATATTAATAAAATGTTTTTTACTTCAAATCACCGGGGGTGATCATCACCGTTGGCCAGAATTATCAATTTTTACCAGCACTATATTTTTTAATGCTGGTCGATCATCATAATTTCAGTCACCGGTGATCATCACCCCGGTGATAGTTAGAAAAATTCTAATAAAATTGTAATTGAAAAATATAAAATATTTTTTTTATTATTATTAGAAGTTAAAGTTCGTTGTAAATATGGAGAACGGTAACACAAAATATTTATTTGAGCACGAAATATTTTTACATTAGGATTTCCATCAACTTCAATCGTAATATCATAATATTTGTCATCTTTTTAATAATCATATAATTTTGGCTCAATTTTAAAACAAATTGGGTAATGGGGTAGTCATCTTTTTTCAAGATACCAAAAAAAATAACAATAAAGTTCTGGTACGGTTTCCGATGTGGTTATTAAATACTATGTAATATTGTTTTTTAATTATTTAAAAGGCTCTATTGAGTAATTTGATCAAAAATTTGTCTTACTGGTCAATTTTGTGAAGAATCAATTCTTACCAACAAAAAGTTTTTATTTGAAATTACTAAAATAACATGCAATCTCGAAGTTAGACTGGTCTTTGGACTGATAGTTTCAGGATGAAAGTCTTATTTTTGATATTTAGTTTTTATATAAATTTATGGATATAGATAATTACAATGAATAATTTCAATGTTCATTTCATTTATTTTTTTTTAATGTATAAACATATGTTGTGCATCAAATAAGCTAGCCTAGTAATGCTGGCCAACCCACTTAAGGCATTATAATATTGGGCAATATCTAATGTAGGCCAGCATCATCTGACGCACAACATATGTATTTTATCTGATTATTTAATGACTGACCATAGATATACCTAGAATCATAAATACTGAAATTTCTAAAAAAGAAACCACTTTACTTTTTATGAAACATATCAATAAATCCTTTATTTGATCGTTCATAATCTTTAAAAAAAATTAGCGTATGCTTGTTGCAATAATTAACATATCCAATTTTTTTGTTATAATATTATAGAATATTTATTATATTAGCATGTTAAATTTTGTCATTTTTTGTTGCGCAAAGTAATACATATAAGGCGCAGTAAGGCCAAGTGCGTGAATACTAAGGCCAGGCAAAAAAAATTTTTAGATTCTCGTGACATAAAATTTTAAAAATGACCTGGCCGGCCGGCCGGCATTTTTTTTTTTTATATTTGTAAAAATTTAATTTTTTTACGCCACATTGGCCAATAACTTATAATCACGTGATAACAATTTTTACTATAAAAAAAAAATTCCCATTTTTCGAAAAACTGACCCGGACAGGTCACAAGAATCTAAATTTTTTTTTTGCCCGGCCTAATAAAAAAAATTTTATGATTTTATTAGTTTTTAAACTAAAATTTTATATATGTAATTTTTAGTAATATTGATAAGTATTTGACATGAACCTAGTCCTTCTGAAATAACAGATTTTTTTTTGCAGAAATGGGTAGGATAAAAAGTTCCTATATTTACAGTTAAATTAGAGGTTGTGAGCTTAATCGATTAAGAGTGCAAAAATCAATTAAATTATCTAAAAAATTCTAGTCAAATGTGAAATTTTGGTTCGTATGATTAAAATATGACTTTAATACAGCTAAATATATGAGTAAAAAGTTGCAGTCAAAAAAAAAATTGAATTTTTTTTTTTAATATTAATCGATTAATTAGTCAGATTAAGGCTTTGGTTCATCGGTTTTTAATCGGTTAAAATTTTTTTGGCCGGTTCCAACCTTTAAATTAAATAAATTTAAATTCAAATTCTATTTAAAAATATGTGAAAGATATACAAATTTCTTAATTATAAGACATACTCTCACTCTCTAATAACAATTACTATGTAGATTTTTGTTCTATTCTACATTTAATAACTTGAGTTTCAAAAACGTAGATATATTCAAAATCTCTTAAAATCACCTCTATCGATCTGAAGACATCCGTAATCTGTTTATCTGATCTGATCATCATCCGTCATCCGAAAAATCTGCCAGATTCCGGATATTTGACGGTGCAAGACTCGTCATATAAGACGTTGCCACCTTGAGCTATAAAAATAATCCTTTATTAAGTAATGCAAAGTTATACAATATTCTATAATAAATCATAAAAATGCTTGGTTAAAAATTATTAAGATTAATTTCTTGAATTTTAAACTAATATAACGAATTAATTAAAAATGAAAAAGGTAATTTCTTAATTCCTAAACTAAAAATGCGATAGTTTCTCTTCATAGTAACTAATCTATAATTCATTAATTAAAATAATTAATGAGGCACTTTTTCATCATAAGAAAAGGCAAAAAGAATCGAATATTTAAAAATTAATTCCCTCAAATGGTTAGAATTAAAGTCTATTTATACACGACGATCATTGTTAATCTAGGCTTCCCATTAAGAAAGTAAATAATTATATCAAAAATTCCTTATACAAATTCCGATGAAATAATTGGTTCAAAAATCCCCTCTTAAAATATAAATAAAATATAATCTCTAAAATTTCTATTTCTAAATAAGTTAATTTCAAATATATTTCAATTTCAGAATAGTTTAACGTCAATTACGGACGTTACACGTTATACATAAAATAAAAAAATTTATACACCTAAACTAAATATAACACTGCTCCCTGTAATTAATAAATTCACTAGATAATTTCAACCCTTACAACGGATATCCGAAGGATAATCGGATCGGATAAAAACAAATTTATATGATATTATTGATGGACAAGTTTGAATGATGCCATTATTCAATTATTCGATTTCGAAAATCCGAATTTTTTGACGGATATCCGTAATCCGACGTATAGCGGTTTAACGGATTGGAACACTACTCTGTCGTAAAGGAGACAAATCCGATATTATTCATCTCGGCTATCTATGATTTGAAATACTTCATAATTTTCTAATGAAAAATGTTCAATTTCTCTTATCTTTTTTCATAGATGATTACAAATAATTGAAGATTTTTCAGAAAGTGATGTGAAAGAATATTTTTTCAGGAGATTGAACCATTATTTGTACAAAATTCTTGAAGTTTTAATAAATTATTAGATTGCGAACTAATTTGTTGAATAAATCCAAAATATTTTTCTTATACACTTTGACTTATTATACAACAATTGTGATTTTATTATTTTAATTAAATTATTTAATACATCCAATACAAGAATGATTTTTTTTTGCTTACCTACGTTTACCTACGTCAAAAACTAAATAAAAGAGGCTACAGTTAATATTACCTGAATATTTTGGTGGTGAACTTATATTTGTACATTTGAATATATTGAATTTTTTTACTTGTAAGTTATTGTGCTTTGCAACGATTAATATCACAATTATTAGCATTCTGAATTTCCGATTGGACAGATTTAATCACGTAGTATTGTTAGAATAAGTAGTTACAATAATTTTTCAGCGTAATAAATTATAATAATGAAATGTTGTAAGAATGTGACGCAACGAACAAACTCTGAAACTCGTATAGCGATCCCTCAAAATTCTCCAC